ACTGAGCCGACACAAAATCAAGACGAAGAAGAAGAAGAGAATCAATCGATCGGAATTCAATTAGAACAGTGTACACCATGCACCGTTGGCTTGGAAGTCATGTCACAGAACGATTCTGAAACTCAGTATTTCAATCGATACCGAGCCACAAATACAACTGGATCAAAAAGACGAAAAGGTAAATAGCTCGTTGTGTTGTGTCTTTCGTTTGATATTTTTTTCTACTTCTTCTTTTGATTTTGAAAATAAAAACTCCCGACAATATAAATACGGGTCCAAAGGGAACCCGAATCAATTCTTTTCTAATCTAATGAAAATGTTTCCATACAGTCATTGAATCGGATGACGATGATGATGATGTTGTCGACGCACACAATAATGTCACGCACACGCCTAGTTTAGTCTCGCCACAGACTTCGACACAATCGAAACGCGTACGATTCGATCAAAACAATCGACAACAACGACCATCAAATTCGTCAAGCCACCATTCACCGATCCACCAAAATATACAAAATGCCGGCACATCGTCATCACACAGCCAAATCGAAATGGAATGCCAAAATGTGTTTTCTTCCATGACAAAAATAATAGCTTCAAACGCAGCACATCGTCAAATCGGTAAAATATTAAAATCGCTTAAAATGACTACATAGTTTTTTTTTTGTAGATTTTTATTGATTTCATATAACAGAATTTATATGATTTACAACACATTTCTCTCTACACACAGTTGAAACAATTGCAAATGAATTGAGCACACAATTGAATCAGTTCACACGGAACATCAAATTGAATTCAAACGTTAAGCGAAAAGTCGAAGATTTGGTGGAAAAATTCGAACGGAGTCATGTCGAAGCCTTGCAGCGTTTACGAAATGGATTTGGAATTTGTGTTGATACTAATACAACTGCTGCTTCTACTGTTGCCGATCGGAACGATGTGTCTACACCAACATCATCCGGTGATACAGTCGCATCAGGTACACGTCCAAAACAATCACAATCGAATGATAGCAATGCACGACAAAAAACAATACCGGCCAAACGAAAGAAGCGAGCAAAAACGATTACAAATGCACCGGCACCAAAGAAGCGAACAACTCGTGCCACCAGTATGCCGAATACATCGAATAATGATTATGTCAGCGATGATTTCGATTTCAATGATGGCGATGACGATGGCGACAATGGTGATGAGGATTCAGAAAGATACCAATCGATCAAAATGGGCAAACGTAAGTCATTCAATGAAAATCTACAGAATAAGGATGAATTGGCTAGTATTATCAATAAAATTGTCACGGACATGAGTCACAATTGGCGACTTGGCGCACTCAACGTACACTGTAGCCTCATGCGAATCATACAATCGAACAGTGAAGCAGCCATTCGTACCGAATTTTGGAACAGTACGTGTGAATACAATCGTAATTATTTTGATGGTTATTTTCGTGGTGTGTATGGTAATTGTATCAATGGCAAGACAAAATTGCGAAAAACATGGAAATTGGATCAGGCTATAATCAAGTTCTGTCAGAAGCACAAAGTCATTGAGAAAAATGCAATTGGTTATGGTAACATTTTCACCTATGCAACTCGGCAATATTTCACCAATTTCATGATGTGTATCATACGTAGTCTGTATAATAATGTTCGGGCATATTTGAATCATTGTGTGATTTCCGAAGAATTGGCAAACCATGCGAAATCAAATGAGCCGGTTGCGAGCACATCACGCACCAAAAAACCACCACTGCCGCCACAAAAATGTCGAACATTGAAACAGATACGCAAAGCGAATTACCAATTGATCACCAATACAATGCGCTATTTGTTCAGCGACGAGGCAGAGAATCCGGATTTCTATAAGAAAAAGCCACAATCGAAACGACCGCCACGCAAAAAGGCCAACGATGATGAAGCGGCCAAACGGAAGAAGCGACAAAATGAAAAGAAAGTGAAAAAGCCAAAACGAAAACGTGATCCAATTCTATTGACACCAGCTATCGAACGTCTTCTGAAGCGTATTCAAACCGATTTTAATCCGATGGATTTCGAAGCGAATCGACGCGGTTATTTCTCCAAATTGACAACAAATTGGTATCGTCATGTGCCATTTTTCGTAAGACTTCAGCAATATTGTCGTGCAAGAAATCGTGAACGCTGTCTCATGATCAATAAACAAATGGATGAAGATGAAAAGAACCAACCGGCTGAAGTTGCCGCAGCAAAGGTCAAACTTCAAGCTGAAGCAGCAGCCAAAATTCACAACAAATCAAAAGCGAAATCGAAATCAATCTGTCGTCCGATTGCCGAATATGTGCCACGAAAACGATTGCCAGGTGTCAAATATACATGGGTTCGATGTGCGCCAAATTTGACCGTGTATCAAGTCATTCCGGAGGCACGTTTTGGTCGTATCTACATCCAAATCGACAGGCGTGGCCTCTTCGAAATCCTTAAGCGGTTGAAAAATCCAAAGGAACAGGAAATGAAAAAGAACAATGGCAGTAATAAACCCTGGCAACAACCGTTCAATGGCAACAAAGAACTTTGGGATCGCATGTGGCGTAAATATTTCGGCATTAGTAAAATCGAACGCCATTCGGCCGGTTTAACATTCGCCAATCGAATACAAACCGATGGCAATGCATTCGTTTTTCTGATGAACAAAGAGAAGAAGACGAAGAAGAAAAACGATGCAACTGATGCTGAAACCAAAGAACGGCTACAAAATATATTACGCCACTGCGATCGCGAAGTAAGCTTTGATGTTGGCGACCGTGAGATCATCGCCGGCCAAATTATCGATCGAGAGAAAGATGATACGGGCGCTGTGAAAGTGAAAAGCGTACGCAATTTTAAAATATCCAGCAAGCAATATCATTGGATGACGAAATTGCCACAGTTCAAGAAACAACGAGATCGACTGGTTGGTACGCTTGAAGACGACAGGGCCGACGATCGTGAGCGCATCGAACGAGAGTGTGAGAACCATGTACAGCCGAGCAGCAGGACGATCGATTTTAAAACGTACGCCGACCATACGTTAAGATTTTTCAATCGGGCCATGGATGTGTACGGCAGCGAAGCGTATGTACTGACTAATTTTTTGCATTGGATTGAAATCCATCGAACCATTGATGAATTGGTGCGAATGATTGTCGCACAAGGGCATGGTAAACATACATTTGTGTTTGTCGGCAAGGCGCCGTTCACCCATGCAAATTCACCATGCAAAGGTTATGTACGTACCAGTGTTCGTTTACTATTCAAAGCACTCGAACAACATCCACAATGTACCGTGCGCTACGTGGATGAATATCGAACAACGAAATTATGTAGCCGTTGCTTTAATGTACTGGAAAATGGTTCGAGGAATGGCCGAAAGACAACGAAATCTCGGTTCAAAGTGTGTCGCCAGTGTAAACCATCGCCAGAAGCACTGCCCGATGGTGGTTCATTCATTTACAGCCACAAGAATTCGAAAAAATTGAAGAAGCAGAAAAAATATCGACCACGGTATTCGAACGAAGATGGCCGCCAACCAAAAGTCGAATTGAAACGATTCAATATGGTCGATGGACTGCTTGTGCCGGGTGCTGAAAATGCTGAGATAGTGAAGAGGCCACGAACACATTTGCGACGTCGGCGCCTAGATGTCATCGCATGGAAATACATACGAAATGATGATGATATTGGTGATACGACAAAAGTCCGTTCGGTTACATTGAATCGAGACACTAATGCCGGTCGAAATATTCGACTTCGCGGTATGTTTACAGTGAATCACATTTTTTTTAATATAACTTTGAATCCAATATTCAATTTTCATCGTACATGTATTTAGGTTATCATGAACTATTGGGAATAAAATTGCCAGATGCATTCACAGTCGATGCCAAGATACAAGATCAACATGCAGAGCGACGCTTCAAACAGTTTGATGAAAATAAGCGTAAAAAGCAACAAAAGGTAATAACATATTGAACATAATTTTCGAATTCATGTGATGTGTAATGTGAATTTGATTTTTTTGTTTACATTTCAGTATCAAACATCAAAAAATTCCATTGAAGCTGAATACGATTCGGATCAGTCATGGTGGTCGTCAAGCAGCGAAGAAGATGCAATCGATTTGAGCAACAGTGAATTGTCTGACAACAGTGATGATAGTAATGATAGCGGTAGTGGTAGCTCTAGCGACGATGGCGAAAACTGATAATAGCATCGTTCACATCGCTCATTCAACAAATCAACAATCAATCAATCAAACAAATAAATGAAAAATTAAATTTAGTTTAATTTAAAGAACAATGTTAATAGTTCTTATCATGAAGTCTGGCTATATATTTAGCGTGGACTTTCGTATTATCTAACCGATATTGTAGAAAGTTCTATATGTTTTCCTTACCTTTATTTAAAGATTCATATTTATGAAGTGTAATTCCTTATATTTTGAAAAAAAACATAAATAAAAATTTAATGTACATATATTTTGTTTTATTATTCTTTGAATATTCTGTTTTGCTTGTGTATTGTGTAATTTAACCAAGATTAATACTTGTTTCTAATTCACACTTTGTAACATTTCAAGAATATCAATACTATCATAAAATATGGGTTAAAGTTTGCTCAAATGGAAACATTTTGGAGAATAAATACAAACTTCCGAGTTACCCTTCCCACCCCAAATGAAATTATTCCAATTTACTTGAGTTACTTCTTCCTTCGGTTTCTTCCGTGTCCATGTACGAATATTTATTTTTGAAATTAGCGCTTTTTTCATCAAGTAAGCAATTTGATATTATTTTATACATGAGTTACATCTAATAAAAATTCCTGTGAAAAAAATCTTTGCTAACAATCCTACGTCTGCATCTTCAATGAAATCAATAGAGTCGATTAAAACAGTTCTTTTGAAAGTATGTATTTATTATTTACACTTTTCTTAGACTGTAGCTTAAAAATATGATCGAATATTTGAAGATTTTTCGAAAAAAAAAATCTCATTCATTATAAATCCATGTAATGTTTTACCAAACTAAACCCTCGTTTTGCAAATTTTGTGGTTCCGAGAAGTTGCTCGATCCCAGAAATTCTGAAGGAGATGCATTTCTTTGATTGCTGATAATGTTATCTTGATTTCCGGGCCCATTTACACCACCACCACTTCCACTTTGATTCGACGAACTTTGATTCATGAAATTTGACTCCGGTGTCATGCCTCCCGTGTCATACCTCATTTCATTCACCATTGGCAAAGTGTTTGGGTGATCAATTGGCCCTGCATTGTATATTATTGGTATTAAGTCAATATTCATTGTGTTAAAATGCATTAAATCAGTATACTGAATAATAGCAAGTCTCACCTGACGCATTAAACGGCAGTGGTCCAATGGGATGTCCAGGAAAGAATGGAGCATCACTACCATGTGAATGAAATGGGGGGCCACCATAACCAAACTCAAATTTTCCATCGTGACTAAAATATGGAAAACCCGCTTCATCCAAACCTCCCGGGGATAGATTCATTGGAAAACCACGCATTTTTCTTGCACCACCGAAAAATGGTCCGCGACCCATACTCGTTAGTTGTTTCATTCGTCGTTCTTTTGATCGCTTATTTTGGAACCATACCTGGAAATAGCAGAAAAAATCTTTAGCATTACTTTATTATATTTCACCAAAAGAAATATATATCTAATCAATTATATCGTCCTATTTTTCCCACATTTTTTAACATTGAATTTAGAACAAAAGTAAATGCAAAACGAAAGAAATACATAATTTAACGTTTTTTCTCCACTATGGTCAATAAGACATGCTTCAAAAGAAATATAGAGAAACCAATAACACGGTCTGCCGTTAAATATATTCAATATTGCTTCCAAGAAAACTAATAACCTGCAAATCGAAAAAAAAAAAACAAAGCAAAACAACACATACAATCGCTTCTATTTACGGAACAATTTTCTGTAATAATCTTTCGTTCTGTTCATCTGCGTAGTTGAAAATAATTTACTGCATTCAAAAATATACGAGCACAACCGTTGCATTTGCTTCGCAACATACCCATAACGCACTTTGTATATATAGTTTGACATCAGTCGATAAAATCGTTCGACACGGTTCTTTTTTTTCGGTATAGTAAAGCGAATTTTTTTTCATGGTAAAATATAGTTGAAACAAGCAACATCTTCAGAAAAATTGGGTTTGAAACAAATTGATCTCAACTCTATTTCATTCTCACTGTTTGTTTCTATAAAAAAATACACAGTTTGTAGCTGTTAACTCATTAAAATTGGTTTCTCGATTTTTCAAAATATTTTATATTCTATTTCAAATCTTTAGTTAGATTTTTAAATGTTATATTGTAGTGAAACTGTTAGGAAAATAAACGCACACCCAAAAACCAAAAATGGAATCCTCATTGCAAACGAAGGATCCGGTGAATATTCCAGTGTGAAAATGGGACCCGTTGCCCACAATTTAATTCTCAAAATTTATTCCAAATTTCAGGTCTGAGTGCATTTTCTATATGCAAAAAATGTATATTCTATGTCAAAAATGTATCTATTTCGAATTTCTTTTTTTTCCCATATAAATAAATCATTTTGATGAAAATCTAAGTTTTTTCGAGACTGGATGTGAGAAGATATTATATCATTTTTAAGGAAATTTGATTGAGAAAGCAAAAAATTAACTGAACCTTTAGCAGAAGAGAATGAGAACCACAACAAAAAGCCCATTCAAACATACCGAAAAGAGGATACAAGATAAAAAGAAGCGCGTTCAAGATTAAAACAATGAAAATCGATGAACGCGCAGTGCAAATTAAATGAAAGAATGCAAAAATGCAACAAGAGAAACATGATGTGATATGAATATAAATATAGAACATCAATAATCACTATAAAAAGTAATAGCTCTGATATATAAGTACGTTCAAGACGTCATGTGGTTAATGGGCGGCGCCGACAACTGTCATTGCTTTCGCTTTGTTTCTTATTTTACCAGTTAAAATGTTATTTTTGACTTTTGATCATAGACTAAGAAAAAAAAATGTAAAATAGGTACAGATATATATTCAGAGAGAGAGAGAGAGAGAGAAAGAGAGAATTGAATGGTAAAAGCGTTCAAAGCATGAAAAAAATGAAATGCACGCATATCATTTGAAATGTGCAATAACGAATCGAGGTAAGACATCATGCTGAGAGTGTTTTGTGAGGATTATGCGATTTTATTTCACCGTAGTTTTCATTTGTTTTCTGTTCACAAGCCGCGTACGAAATATGAGCGAATTAGGAGAAAATAAAGAGAACTTCGAACTGGAAAACAGGTCAAAAATAAAAATGAAACGTTGTATTAACGAGTTGCGATTTCATAAAAGATTCATATTTTTGGAATATTTTTACAGTATCAATAACATTTGAAATATTATGACTGAAATATATTACCCAGAGAAATCAATCTTAATGAATGATTTTTCCAAAGAGATTAAAAGTTTTCTTTAGATAAAACCAGGATCGTTTAATCATATTTGCAATTTCAAATGAAGTAGGCACATTTGATCTTGTCAATGTGTGCACATCCAAAAATATTTGACTTCAAACCTTTCAATGATCATTGTTATAAATAAACTTTATTGTTTTTGTTTAAGCTATATATATATCGACTTTTTAACGTAATTCAAAATTTAAGAATTCAAAGAGAAAAACTTATCGCAATTTTAGTGTATTACTATTGTTTCGGTGAGATAAATTTTGGTATTTATAAACCAAACGTGCTTCCACTTCTCAAAGAGAAAAAAATTTGTTGCTTTGCAATTTTTAGGGTGAAATAAAGTTATAGTACAGACCGAATAATATTTGAAAGATTAAATATACTAGTTACTTCACCCCAGTAACTTGTACCGATTCCAATTTATTTGTCCCCAAACGATTATGCTGAACAAATGTTTGTCAAAGTGTATCGGGGCGGGGTCGTCCAAATTATTTATGATTTTATTGGCAATATTTTTGTGACTGAACAAAATCGAAGCACTTGATGAAATGTTTTACAAAAGAAACAACTGTTCAAATTTCGTAACATTTTGTTAGTTTGTAATGAGATTTTGAACTCAATATGATTATGATTGTATTCCATTCTTGTGGCTTCCGAATAGTAATTTCGTTAATATATCGTCAACTCTTTATAGCGCTATGGTGAAACGTGCTACAAGAAGGAAACCAAGTTCTTATAATATTTTTTATTAGACGGCCAATACTCATCACCTCTGAGTGAGAAACTTATATTTTTTCTATAATTTTAGAAATATTTAGCAATATTTTTAAACAAATGCATATTCTGCATGTTTACATTTTCAAAACAAAAATCTAATATTTTTCACAATCAGTCGAAAGCAAAAATTATATTAATCCAGAAATATTACAAATAGATATATAATTTGAAATTAAGCATTTTCAATTCTCGTCGTGAAAATTCTGTGCTTTTGATTTGTAATGCAAATAATTTATATACGTGAAAATGCATGAATAGAACAACAACATTACACAAAGAAGCAATGAGATTATCAAAAAAATCTACAGTCAGCCGAATCTAGCCGTGAACAAATGCGCTCAATGATTCTCATTGATGGAGTTTGTTACGCTGTGGAACGAATTTGACCAAAATACAATCACCTCCTGTGTATGGACGATTTGGTTTTTCAATTCTATTATTTTCGTTCGACATGCATATAAAAAATCTTGTTTTGTTCAAGTCTTGGTTTCGTTTTTTGCCCCTGACTTTGCAATAAAATTTTAATGTTTTCCAGTTACAACACAAGAACCTTCTGTTTCACAATTTGATATATCTTCTTCTTTATTGTTCGAACATGAGATTAAACATGTTACGTCGGTGGAATTTAATTGTTCTGATTATATCAAGTTTAATTGACCCCACAACGTGTGGCGATCACTTGCTGCTTTCTATCCGATTGGTTACCTCGAGTTAATACCCTTCTTTTTTCGGTTTTTTCTCCTAAATAGTTCTGAGTGATTGGACAAAATTTTGAAATTCGGAGGTGATTTTTGTTTACTTCGTGTTTAAATTGACAGCCAAAATTTTGTTGGTAGTTGATGAAAAATAGAAATGAACGAATGGAGATAGACTTCGGAAAAAAAACAAATCAACTTTCATACACAAAAGCTAAATTAAAACCGAACGATTATGTAGCGATGATCAAGCAAATAAAAAAGTATGATTTATTTATTCATACGCAATATATGTGATTGAGTGCATATGATGCATGCATATGGTAGTGCCGACACGAAAAAAGAGGAACTTTGACTTTTCTTTTTTTTTTAAACGTTCTGCCTTCAAAACTACAAAAGAAACATGAGCACATACTAACTGAATAGATGAAACACATGAAACTTATACGTTTCATTATTTCATCAAATGACAGCAGAGATGGAATAAGAGAAACACAACATATATTGTATTTCTTGATTACCGACGGCGTTACATGGCAAATTTGACTAAATGCAGAATCATCAAAAAAAAAAAAAAAACAATTAATTCAGTTTGCGGCAAAAAAATGATTCAAAGTTAGCTTTATTACCAATTTATAAACATTTTATTGAACCTATATTTTTTTAAAAGTGTAATCAAAGAACTGAATGTTTAAATATGTTCCACTCAAAAATTATTTTTAGTGATAAAGTTGAACTTTTATTGCTATACTGAGAGAAAAAACTTTTCACATACGATTTTAAATACCATGTATGTATTTTTATCTAGTTTATGTCCCATTGCAATTAAAATGTTTCATTTAAAAAATATCTAAGATTTTCATTCAATATCACACATTCATTGAAGAAAAAATTTCAAAATAGAAGCGTGATTGAGTGTGTTGACTTTTTGTCACCAGATCAAACGAAAAAGCAACATTAACTTCAATTATGATGAATATAAAATCAGTTGAAAAAAAAACCAACAAAATAAGGAAGATATGTCTTATGGGAAGTATTATCAACACTTTTATATTTTTAAGTATAGTTTGTTCGTGTTGTGTGTGTTATACAAGCCAATAATGAAAGAAAATTAGATTATGTCACCTTTCATTTTTTCTTCTGTTTTTCGATGTCATTCTATCTTCGACCATTTATTCATTTTGATTTCAATGCTAATTATGAGTTTGATTGACACATGTATGTTGTTCTTTTTGTCAATATTGGTAAATAAACTAGATAACAATATAAACTCTTTTTCAGTGACCCTTGTAATTTGAGTATTTTTGAATACACAACAAGTCTTTCTTAATTTATTTTTTACTTTCATAATTTACTTTCTAACATTATCGAAGATTGTAATTATTTTGTTCTTGACTGCAAAGTTTCCTTTCAAAGATAATTTTCTTTTGAGAAAGGGGAAAAATACCGATTTGAATCATCAACTTAAAGGGCATGCAGCATACGTTTTTTGTGCGAACGATGAATGAAGATGAAAAATAATCGATAATTCCGTTTTTTTCTGTTATTTTTTGTGCGCCTTCTGTTGTGCTCTCAATTTTTGAACCTTCAGAAGATATTTAAAAATCATCGTTATACTACTTCTCATTCTCTAACTTTGAATAATAAAAAAAACATAAAAGTAACAAACATGATTTATGTTTTTTTTTTTTTTGTTTTATTCATATTCGTGTTCGTCCGATATTATTTGAGTAGTGACGTATTGTTTTTGTTTTCTTTTTGTTTAAATTTTATACTCTTTTCGTAATGCATTAATATTCGAAAAGACCATCGTACTTTTGATTTCATAAATAACAAAGCGAAAAAGAATAGAATCTTAGACAATTTTTATTTCATTCACTGAGATTTGCCATTTGCTTGTTAATTTCATTATGATGGATGTTAATTTTTTCTTAAATTCCAAAATATTGTGAATATTTTTATTAACTTACTTGTATCACTCTCATTGGCAAACCAGTTTCTTTAGCGAGTTGTTCACGGATGTGACGCGTTGGTTTTGGTGTCTGACTGAATGCATTTTTTAAAACGTCTAGCTGTTTGGCTTTGATAGTTGTTCGTGGACCACGCCGTTTCGAACCATTTGCCCCATCATCAGGACTTTTATTTTCTGCCTGTGAATCACCACGGCAATCAGGATCACCATCAATTGAGCCCTGAGATGAATATTAATTGTTTTTTTTTTTTTCTTTTCATTTAAATAGTCCTTAAAACTCTCATAATACAACATAAAAACGATTTTTCAAAAGGGAAATGTTTCATTTCAATTCGTAAAAACTCACTTGATCAGAATCATCTTGTGTCATTTTATTATCGCTATTCGTACTTTGTACTGACATATCAGATGGACCTAAGGTGATAAGAGAATCTGATACATTTCCACCCAATCCGACTAACGCACCTAATCCCAAACTAGAACCACGAATATGATGTGTTGGTTCGTCATCTTCTTCATCTTCGGAACCGGAGCCCAATAGCGGATCTGATGAAAAGAAAGAAGAAAAAAAAATTATTTTGAATTGTGACACTTCAATAGATAGCTTAAAAGTCAAGTACCAAATTCAATTTGGTGTTTCAAATCGAATTATAACTGTTCATCAAAGTAAACAAATTGTTTTGCATATAGATTATGAAGAAAGAAAATGCTTTGTCGATTTTAGGAGTGAAAAGCATTTATTTCCGATGCATAACACTTTATTATGAATTGAATTTGTTTAGTGTATTTGCTTTGTTATATATATTTTAAGGTTCACTATAAAACATTGGTACATACATACATAATGTGTATAAAAAAGAAATAGAGAAAGAGAATCCCAATCACTTCGCAAACATACACAACAGCAAAAAAAATATTCCCTCGAACGACAGCGTTCCCTTGCTCCTGATATTTTTCTTCCTGAATTTGAGTTTCGTGCCTATGTATCAATGTGGAAAGCTAATATTCTGTTTTCACGACAAGACCCTTGTGTTACGCATCATTGCTATAAAATATTACCCGAAGAATTATACGCACATATACATTTTACGCCATCATCATTCATCATTTATCAGACGAAATCGCTGAGCCAAACGCGTATGACATGGAATATACATAACTTGAAAATTGTGTTACTGTTTTGATTTCAAAGTTTACTTCAAAAACAATCAAATGTGCGGTGTGTATCTGGTATTGTATTGATATTGTGAGTAGAGCTGGTGTACAACGTGACGTACAAAATAATCTGTGGTCCATGCCAACGTAAACGCTCACAAGGAATGCGTAGCAAATGGTGAATTTTGTTTTTATGCAGGGAACGATAGAGATTTTCCAAACCATTTCTCATGAATGCCTTACAGCTGAATTTATTTTATGTGTTTTTGGATTCAAATGTTCTCGACCAGTTATAGTTACGAGAGGGTATATTTGTTACTCCTGTAAATAGTACTACTATTACTTCTTCGTATTGCTGTTTCATATATAAAATTTAGTCTGAACCCCAAACATTGTGAATGTCATGGTTGTGTTTATATCCCTTAATTTCGCATTAATAACAAGTAAATAATTTGACCGATATGTTTGCATTTTTTATTCGATTTAGGGTTAAATTACAATCGAAAAAGATACACTTGTTTCATAACGTCAAAAACTTGCACGCTGTGAAAATTCATTTTTGCAAACTTTTTATGTCTTTCTGTTCTCGTCGAAGTGAAGTTCGTTCGCATGTACAACCATTTCTTCTGTTACTGACATATGACAACACATTGAATGCAGGATGACTGAAAAACCAGCCAATTCTGTTTTTTCATGTCCATGTTTGAAGTCACGTGGTACTTTACTCTACCTTTGTCACCATTTTCAAAGCAAATTTTTCCCCTGGACATATTCCAAGCAGCAGTGCTGTGAATATGGCTTTTGTTAAGTGCAGAGAAACGCATACGTATTTTCTAAAACAAAAATCGATATTTCTACTCTCGGTTGGATAGAGACGAAATCCGAACAATAGCATGAACACGTAAGTTTTTGATAGCATTTATCAATGCAGCAAAGGGAATGGTATTGTGGAAGTCTTGATAATTCTGAATGATAAAAACAAGAAGCATTGTTATCCAAATGAAAAGTATACAATTTTTGAACGGTTATTTTATTTTTCGTGTCAGTCAAAAGAAGAAATTGTGAAAATCTGAATTTTACTTCATTTTAATACGAAGCATTTCTGATCTATTCTTGACATGTTTTTCTTTCGTTCGCAGAGTCATTATATAACTCAACTTGGTGAATCGTCGAAATCAAAAGAATAACCAAAAGTAAATCAAAATATTCACTACACACAGAGAAAGAAATATTGATTGTGCGATGAATGCGCGCATTTGGAATAAATATTATAGGCCGAAAAACCCCATGCTGGGTGTGAAATTCATTGTGGGAATATTGTTCACTTTATACACCGGCACACGAAAGCATATAAATTCCGGAAAATCAATGTAAATCTTGACGAATATATTTTTTTACTTTTTCAATAACATTTATTCTTCGCAGATTATTTATTTTTTGCAGTATAGATTATTTAATTTCAATTCTGTGCATTCTTACAACACAGCTTTTAAATACGTTTATACGTCTACACATTTAAGAAAACGTTCTAATACTTGAAATCGATTTGACTAATTGATATATTTAATGAGATTGTGGATACTGGATAGTATGAGGGCTGCTCCATATATTTCTAGAATTGGCAATATTTAGTGTTGTCCCGTACAAACCATTGTCATATTCGTTAAGTTTAACATTTGGTAGCATAAACGATCTCAGAACGTTCTGTCATACGCGCGCTATTTGTATTGTTTACAGTGACATCTAAATTGCGTCTCAACAAAAAAATGAATTTTACTAGTGAAAATTTTCATGCGATAATTTACTACGACTTTGGATTGGGTGTATCTCAACAACAGTGTTTTGATCAACTTCATTTGGTCTTTGGCGATGAAGCTCCATGCAAGGCCACTGTATATCACTGGTTTACTGAATTCAATCGTGGTCGTCATACGAATTCCGTGAAAGTCGTCCAAAATTGGTTGTTGTTCCAGAAACTATCGATGCTGTCAGAAACATGATAAAGCAAGATCGTCATGTCACATACCGTGAGATTGAGGCATCCTTGGGCATTAGTATGAGAAGCATACACACGATTTTGCATGAACATTTGGCCGTAAAAAAGATTTGCTCTCGTTGGATTCCACATAAATTGACCGATGACCAAAAATTAGCTCGTGTGAATTGGTGCAATGAAATACTCAACAAATAAAACCGCGGTGCATCATATTCTGTCTATAACATCGTCACAGGCGACGAATAGTGGATATATGCGTATGTGCCCGAAACTAAACAGCAGTCGACAGTATGGGTCTTCCAAAGTGAAGATAATCCAACGAAAGTTATAATAATAATAATAATAATAATAATAA